CTACATGAGGGGTGACACCCCAGAGCTGAGTTGTTCGCTACAGTTAGACTAGGCAGTTTAGGGTGACAAACCTTCTCTTACACAAGTTGGCGTCTGAAAAACATCATGACAGGCGGACCAGTCATTATCAAGTATGGTTATAACGACTCACAAAGAAATTAACTCCACTATAAAATTTACGGAATACATAAACGATTCTACAAAAACAATTCCATACAAACACCAACTCACAATTTTTGGGTTTTTAATACTATAATACTTTTACAAGCAGAAAATATTGGCTTTTCTAGGAAAACGTACATTATACATCACCTTTTACTTAGAAGAAACCATGGGATTTTATGGAATACTTCCTTTATACATTTTCAAAACAGAGAACACACATGCTTTAATACAAGATTTGATACAAAGCGTTCAAACCATGTACTTCTTTTTACAGAAAATATCGGGTTTTCTGTTTTTTACAGAGTGATACAAACTTTTCATACACATATACTTATGAACTCACCAACATTATATATATTGACCGTTTTCAAAATAACTTGTATTCTTAGGAAATTGTTAAGTGGGTGGACATCGAGATAATGTGGAAATTTTGCTGTATTTTGTTGCTATTATGCACCTTACATTTTGGGATGTAACTTTTATAAATTATTACAATGATGTAAACCTGATACTGTTGTATTATTGTACGTATGATGATGTTTGTCATTGTTTCAATTGTATTCACTGTGATGATATTACAAGATGAAGTCACCCAAACCGCCGGATGTTTCTGTCGTTCCGGTCCGGGGGTGTGACAGATAATCATATGCTTTTTCAAAATCTAGTTTAAAAATCATAAGTTTTTTCTTTTTCTTTTTATACCACTCAATGATCTCAATAAGCATCAGAGGTTCGTCTAAGAATTGCCGACCATTTAGAAAGGCAGATTATTCAACTCCAACTACTCTTTCCACCACTTTTGCCAATCTAATTGCTAGAATTTTTGCTAGAATCTTGTATTGCAACTCAATAAGAGATCTAGGCTCAAAATCTTTTACCATTATAGGGTTCTAGACTTTAGGAACTAAAGTAATGAAGATTGATGTGACGTCCTAAAAATTAAGACTAAAAATTTCGTTTTTTAAATTAATTAAACCATTATCCAAGAAAACGTCATCAAAACCATAGTGAATCAAGGTATATCAATAATATCGAAATATATCAGAGTAATATAAAATATGGAGTGATGTGGTGTGTGCACTGCAATCATCACAGGCTCTTCCCATTCGAACCAGAAGTACCTGAAACATAAACTGAAAAACATAAGCACAAAGCTTAGTGGGTTCCTTAAAATAGCACATATTAAACAAACATACTGCCAAGCATATCTAGGTGCTTACCTACCCCTTCGGTCTATTTCAACCGCATACTATCAAGCATATATGGGTGCTTGCCTACCCCTTCGATTTATTTCAATTGGATACTATCAAGCATATCTGAGTGCTTCCCTACCCCTTCGATCTATTTCAATCGGATACTATCAAGCATATCGTAGGTGTCTAGGTTCTTGTTGGGCCATCTGAGAGCAAGTATATAGATGAGGAAAATTGAATGGGCTTTAGAGTAAGGCCCATGTAAAGGGTTTGGCCCCAATTTGGAAAATTAGGCCTTGATTAATTATTTGGATTTTGGGCCTCCAGAATTTGAGTTTCGGTCTTGGTTTTTTTACCAATCTGGGTTAGGGGTAAAATAGTCTTCTTACCCCAAGTATGGATTTTTGTTTATACATTGGCACCCCATTGTTAATTGGGTGTTTTTCTAATATTTCAGTTCGGGGATCTGTCAGCCAGCATCCGGGGTTTGTCTGTGTGATTCAGCAGTGTGAGGTGAGTCTTCTCACTATATCCATTGGTTAAAGGCACCAATGTCAGCCCATTACTTGTTATATGGAACGCTAGTTGTCTCTATGATACTTGCATGCAACACCATGGGGGAAGCCTATGACATTTGGATTTAAGACCATGTGGGAGCCCATGAAATTTAGATATAAGACCATGGGGGTGCCCATGGCATTTGCATATAAGACCATAGGGGTGCCCATGGAATTTGAATATAAGACCACGGGGGAGCCCATGTCATTCCTGGTAAAGACCATGTGGGGGAGCCCATGGCAACTATATGTATGTTACATGATATACTACGGAAGATATTCTATGGATGATATTCTTTGCATGATATTTTGTGGATGATATTTTGTGGTTGTATGTTATGTGGTATTTTGGGGAACTCGCTAAGCTTTATGCTTACGTTTTTCAGTTTATGTTTCAGGTACTCTAGTTTTTTTCAAATGGAAGGGCTCGAGATGGTTGCAGAGCACACACCACATGTTTCCGTCTTCCGTGAACTTCTAAAATTTATCAATGTTTTGTTAAGACTTAATTACTCTGGTTTTTTAGGATATATATGCATTAAAAATTTATTATTTTAAAACAAAACAAAATTATATTATGATTTTTGGGGTGTTACATTGATTGTGGTGTTTAGATTTCTAGTCTGCACCTCCTATAAGTAGTCTCTTAAACACGAGATTGAGCAACAAAATCACCTCTAATTGGTTATGGGGATTTTGTTTTCGCCCTATGAACTTTCATGTCTGAAAACCCAACTTGGTATTTCCTCTCAAGAAACTCACGTAATGCTCTAAGTCGTATTTTTGGATTTGACTTCATCGTGTCAAAAATTGACGCTCTCCTCCAATTGTTAATCCTAAAATCGATCGGTGTGTGTGTGTGTTACCTTTATTGATCATTGTATGTGTGTGAACATCTGCAATTCTTGTCGGTATGCTCCAATCAAATTCCCTCCTTGACGTAGAATACCCGTTGGTATGTCTCTTAAATTCCGGTTGGTATGTGTTCATATGCGATTACCGACCAATATCTATGTATCTTTACGTGTTCATCTAAAGGTCATTCACTAGTTTGTTCTTCGATTATCAGTTCTTTTTTCAACATATAATTGTTATTCTTAATGATGTATCTTTGAACTTGCAAGATGGATTGAATCCTTTGTTTGTTGTGGCTATTTCTTTGTTGTGATTCTTGATTAAGTCATTTATACTAGTGAATGCTTTAGTGTCAAAAATCTTATTTTGCAATCGTTGCATAACTCGCATAGTTCAGAAATGACCATTGTCGGCCTGTTTCAAACTTTAATGATCGGTTGATTAGGAGGTATTGTGTGATTTTATAAGGACAGACATTACAACATAAACTAACTGAAGTGTATTCCATATCCCTTTTCTTTTTTGTTTCGGTTTTCTTTGTCATCACACACCATCCATTCCCCTGTTATTGTACTCTGTCCACAAGGGAAAACTACTTCACCATTGTTGATTCCTCAAGAAAGATGGAAACGAGGACATTAGAAGATAGCACAGAAGATGACGATTCAGAGAGAGAGAATGGTTATAGTTGGAAAGAAGAAAGGACATGAATATTCTATTAATTGCATCAAGGATAGGGAAGTATCGAGTTTTCTTGGTGATACCAGATCATCAAATGACCGCACCATTTTGAGTGACAGAAAGATGAGGCAGAGGTATTTTTATACCTTAGGCTGAAACGTCAAGCTTATGTGGCATTAAGCCTAAAAACTAATGTCTTTTAACATATTTAACCGTTTTAGATTAACTCATATCACGTCAAGCTTAGGTTTCTGTTGGGAAGAACAATCGGAGAACTGAAGAAAACAAGTGATTTATGGACGTGTGAGAGAGTGGTGATGTTGGTTTGTGGTTTTATAGTGAGAGAGAGATATTCACGGTATTTTAGGGATAGGATTACATTTAAATTTGATTTTCTAATCCTTATTAAATGAAGGGCATAATAGAGAATTTCATTTAAAAATATGTGGATCTATAAAAAAAAAAGTCATGGAAGTATCAATTCCCTTTATAATATAACATAGATAATTAAACATAAGATACTATAGATTACGGTTTTATAATATAGTATATAGTTAATTAACATAATATATTCTAAATACACAAATTTACCGCAACATCTATGGAAGGAATACCTTCTTATATGGCATAGTAACTTGACAACAATACACTCCTCATACATCTGGTGGGGTACAAACCCTCGATTAGCTAGCTTAAATTAGAAGGTAAAGAAATTCAATTTTCTTTGTTAATTTTTTTTAATATATCAATTAACTAGGTGTAAAATCCGTGTATTACACGAGTTTATTAAGAATAAAATTTTAATATCAATATATAAGTATGAAATATTTTATAATGTAATACTTTACTTAATAGAATGTAATCTTCTGAAAATTTATAAAAAAAATTAAATCGTTTGAAGTATTTATGAAAATTTATTACCAAATTAATAGGATGATTTTATTTCTTTATATAATCCATTATAATTTTATGAAATTTTATTTTAAGAAAATAAAAATCTCAAAAAAAAAAATATAACAAGTGGAAAATAAAATTTTTAAAATTCTCACAAAATAAAAAATATCAAAATGAAGGAGAAAATGATATGTATAAAAAAAACATTCATTTATTAAAAAATATATTATTGCTATTAGAAATATAATAATAATAATAATAATAATAATAATAATAATAATAATAATAATCAACAACGGTTTTTATGGGAAACCTAAGACCATCTCGATTTTTTGGTAGAAATAATTAAAATGAGTAAAGGCTTTCGCATATCTAAGCAAAATCATTAGTCAAGTTAACATAAATTATCCTTTTATATAACAACGCTAGTAATCCTCGGAATAAATGGATTAAAACCCGTGGCATTAGTTGTCAAAAATCTAATACGAAAACAAAACGGATAAAAAAGGAATGACATTTATTGACCATTTGCAAAAAATAGGAAAGAACATCGTCTTGACCATATTCGTCATTAATATGATATGGTTTCCAAACCTTATAGTCATGTCATTATGTGAATATAAAGCCTTCTGTGTTAACACCTAATATGCAGCATCTCTTCTTTCATTTACTTCGTAAAAGTTATTATAGCCTTGTTTTTGAAGACAAATGAAGTCTTCAGTGTTCACTCTGCTCGTGCTTCTCTCCATTTTCCTTTATCCAACTCAAGGTACTTCCATCCTATCCCCCCAATCTATGTATTAAATCTAAATTCAGGGATGCATGAGATCTATTGACAAGTGTTGTCAGCATCCCCTGTGTATGCCGATTCCACCTAGAGAGAAAGTGTGTTTCTGGATGTTTGTGTAATGTCTATGTGTGTTTTCTTTGTAAATTATATATGTCATCAAATATTATGTGATGTGATAAGTATAGTAATTTTACAAATTAGCTTTGAACATAATTTGGTGGTTACGTGAAAAATATACATGCATGACCATTGAATGACTTAGACCAATTGTAAACCGACTTAGAAAATGGGTTTATAAAGAAAATACACATTATATATTCGACATTCACACCTATTGATATCTAAATCGCGATAATAAACACTAACATATATGTGGAAAATTTAAACATTTATGTTATCTTAATAATTTGTTTATCTGTATCACACGTAAAATATCTGTTTATATGTCAGCCCTAAAACATACATCAACACAATGAACTAATTATATGTTTTATGTTGTTATTACGAAGGTATAAGGTTCGAAAAGTTAAGTATGTCACCTAGCAACCATCAACAACTCATCGCGAAGGTGATCTATCTCATGGTATTCTGCTAAAAACTTCACTTCTCTTGAACCTGATTTTTAATTCGGTTTTCCACATTGCAGATTTCATCAAGTAATAAAGACGATGGATCATCCACTACCAAGCTTTTACCTGGTACTATCATAAACTAATAAGATATATGATGTTCATGGCCCTAGACATCACATCCCTAGACAACATTGAAAAGCTTACATATTACTTGGCTTCTGTTTTGAATCGCTGTTGATTTTGACTTAATTGGTTTTCCGTGTTTATTTTGTTTGCAGGATTTGATAGAAAACTAATGACAGAAATGAGTTCCATCAACAGCAATAGCAAGGTTTGTCTAATTTGTAGCAAATATTAACGGAAGATAAGAAACAAAATATTTTTTTATTAATGGGATGAAATATTTATCGTTTTACAGAATTACAAGAATAATAATCCGGATGATATGGAGTTTACCCATGGAGAAATAGGAAAGGGAAATATTTTTCCAACGACATTAGTTCCAGCAAATGACATGCATGAGAAAACTGAAGTTCACCAGCATTCAGACGTTACAGACATTATAGATATAACTCAATCAGATTATACACCTCGTAGGTGCAGGACACCGATACACAATTGTTAACGTCTAAATACTACATTACTTATAATACCTCGTTCCCTCGAACGATTAGTTTTCTATCCTAATTATATTATGAATAAAACATGAAGTAATTGATATTCGATCAAATAAGATGTACTAGTCGTACGGTATAAGGTACAAGTAAAGGTTAACAATCAGGCGGGGTTGTGTTGAATCCACGTGTTGCCTTGGCAATACTAAAATTTTCCGAGAGTGGTGTTATTTCCTTTAATTTTTTTTTTTTTTTTTTTTTTTTTTTTTTTTTTTTTTTTTTTTAGTTGACCTTTTAAAGAAAGGGAGAATTTCATATATGTCCCTCTTAAACCTCAAAATATCATATTTGCCCAACTTGATTTCTTAATATCATATTTACCCTTCATAAACCTTCAAAATATCATATTTGCCCAAATCCTTTTTTATAATGTTTTTTATATCTTATCATCATTTTTTATAACTTAAAATTACTATAATAATTAAAAAATTTAATGATATTATCCTTATGTCTATGATAATGGAATGTAAACTTCTAAATTGTTGGAATGTCGTCTTCTTGACAAACAAGAATATTCATCTTCAACCCTCTCCGTGGAATGTATATTTTGATTGTTTAGTTTTTTTTGTTGATTATGTTGTAAATGAAGGATATTTTAGATATTACCATTGATATTTTGATGTTTAAAAAGTACATATATGATATTTTGATATTTAAGAAGGATATATATGATATTTTGATGTTTAAAAAGAACATATATGATATTTTGAAATTTTATGAATGGTAAATATGATATTTAGAAAATTTATAAAGGGTAAATATGATATTTAGAAATTAAGTTGGGTAAATATGATATTTTGATGTTTAAGAAGGGCATATATGAAATTCTTCCTACCCCTAGGCCTAACTCCAAACTTCAAAATCCTTAGGTTAACGTTAAATTCCAAATTAAATCTTATAATTTTTAAATAAACAAAGTTAGCCTGTGTTAGACATATGTCCATATTTAATCTATGTTAATTGGTTGCTGGACTGGGCTTCTTGGTCCATCTTAATCTGGGTTAGAGATTTCAATAGCTTCAGGATTGTAACATAATTCAAAGGTAATTTTTGGAATTCTTCCTTGATGCACGGCAAAATAGTCATTTTCTAATTATTTTTTTATTAAATAGTCAAAAATAAATCTATAATAAAAAATAAACAATAAAACAATGGATAATTATGGAAAACTATTATTTTATCAAGAAACATAGGGTTTGGTCTCGTAAAAACGTTAAATACATTCGACGCATTAGCTATTGTTTTAGAGCTCGACTATTTTTTTTATCAGTATCTTCTAGCAATTGCTAGAAAGAAAAAAAAAAATTACAATTGAGTTTGTATAAGAAATAACATTGGAACGTCTAAATTTTAACGAAGTAAAGGGAAAAAAAACAATTGAATCAGAAAGCATGTCTTTCCGCATTTTGCAATAATCGAACACAATATTATTTTGAAACCTCCATATAATCCACCCCGCGGTAGGCATCACCACTTCTAGATGTTATTTATTTTCCGATGACATACGTAAATCATCAACCAAAGATAATCATTCTTGGATTGAAACTGAATTTGGTAGCCTTATATCACACCATAAAGAAATCGACCTGCACAAGCTAGATGCGACCTCACAATTGAAAAAAAAAAAAAAAACATCCTCGATGGATTCCACTACTGCATTACACACTGGACAAGTGACCGAAAGCAAATCTACACCATTTAACCGAGTTGAAAGTCGATCAAGCAACGCTCTCCAAATGAAAACATTGACTTTCTTAGGCACACTAAAACTCCATCATGTAACCTTACTCAATCCGACTTCATTAAATTGTCAATATATCTTCTAGTAATCCCCAGTGAAAAGTCGCCTATGCCACTTAAATCCCACCACCACGAATCCCGTTTAGAATTAATATCAAACGAACTCAAATTTGAAAGCAAATCCTGAAATTCATCTTCGATAGCACCACTCTTTAAAGATCGAACCCAAACCTAATGCCTTGTTCCATGATGCCATCGATCACAAACCATCACATCACATTTTTTTTTCAATCTTAACAACCTTTTATAACGATCCTTGAGAAGTTGATTTCCCAAACAAGGGTCAAACCAAAACATTGCCTTATCCACCATTACAACCTTATATATTATAGTTGAAATAAGAATAATATTACAATCGTGCAACTCATCTATAGAACCAACAATACGCACCTTTTATCTCGCATGGATTTCAAGAGTATACAAAATCGTCTTCCTCTCCATGAATTGCCTTTATCACTTTAATCCATAGAGCAGTTTCATTATACTTAAATCACCATCTCAAATGTTGTAATAAATCTTGATTAAAAGCTTTCAAACTTCTTATACATGACCATCCTTTCTCCATCGATGCCAAAACAACATCCCATTTAATCGTAGACAATTTTTTCTTTTCTTCATCATTTCCCCAAAAATATTTGTCCTTAATATTTCGTGTTGGGTGCAAAGTTATCCATGTATGACTTTGTATATGTTTTGAATTTTGTAAAACTCACTTGCATGTGGTGCATTAGTTATTTGACTTATGAGATAGAAACTGAGAGAGAGACATGTAAACACCTCTATATAAAGTGGGTTCATACCACTTATGGAGGTATGTTTGAGAGATGTAAAACTAAGTGTGTAAGTGTGTGTTATTTATGTAGATGTAGATCTAGATCGCTTTTTGTAACACCATACATAATCGAATGCATCTCCTAAACATTGAAATCATTGTGTCATTGTGTGTTATTTAATTCTGCATGTTAAAGTCAAACCATGTTCTTAAATCACTACATTTGATATCAAAACAGGTCTTCAAAGATCAATGTGATTTTTTGAAGAAAGATTCTTGGTTTGGTAAAATTTGTCACAATTGGAGCATTTTTGGTGAGTCTCTCTCTATGATCTCTCTTAATCTCATGGAATTCGTGCGTTATGTTCTTGATTTTTAATCATTTGACTCATTGGATCAATTTAAAAAAAAATAATAAATAAAACCATTTGTTGTGACCCAATCTTTTTTTTTTGTTGATCAAAGCTGATCCAATCTTTATTCATTTGATTAATTCAATTCCAAATTTGCAATTATTGTTTTAATCAAAAATCAGATAATATGGTCTAGTATTGTTTATATGTGTTCTTAATTCAAAGTCGAATCGTCTATTCACCAATTAGTCCAAATATCTTTCTATATTACTATTCATGTTATTATTGAGCCAATTCGATTTCTTTTGATCAAATAAGAACTCGTTGAAAGCCCAATGTCACATTAACATGTAATCAATCCATATTTACTGATCTTGTCTTCATTATAGTGTGCTTCATTGTTTGTACCTCATATTCTCAATTTTTCTTCATGTGTTCTTAATTTTCGACTTCGCTTTAATACATCTTGAAAATCGAGTAGTATTGTGTTCAAATTTGGATTCTGAATCAATTTTGTATCATGTATTTGATCTTTAAATCAATTTTATTCAATTCTTATTCTAGAAATCGACAGTTGATTTTTAATTTCTATGAAATTGGGCAAGGACACTTGAAATCGATGAAGAATAGTTAAAGAACAGAAGTTTTGATTTTGATATGGAATCATTTTGAACATTATGAATTTCGTGTTCGTTGATTTTAGATGTTTAACTTTCGAAAGTCAAAGAATGTTTAAGAACAAACAGCGAGTATTTTAATTTTATATTGATTAAGGTTAGAAATTCGAAGGGATGTAAATTGAGTTGAAGGATTCGATTTTGATGAACAAGGATTGTTGGTTTAGGTTCATTGACGGATTTATGGTCTTTCATAGCGAAGATTTGGAAATTTCTATTTAAGTGTCGATGTTGGTTTGTTGATTAATATCGACTAGGAAGTAAAATTGATTTGTGTCTAATTTCGAAGATTTCGTTTTGGATTGAACTGTGAAATGCGAAGAATGGATTGAGGATTAATATCGATTTCCTTAAACTTCGATTTTGGAGTTAGAATGATAACGAAGGTTTTGGAACGGGGTTTGCTTTGAAAGACGAAGATTTTGTGTTCATTTTAAAATTTTAATAACGAATCGGGAAGTGATGATAATTTCGAAGGTTTCTATCGGGTGTTGACTAACGAAAGTTTTTTTTGGTGTCGAATTCCTGGCTTGAACTAACAAAAGTTTTGTTTCACTGGGATTAAAGATGAAGAAGATAATTGAAATTTTCGACATTATTCCTTACTATTTCAAAGATTTGATAGTTTTTATAAACATTCGAAAGTTGGACTAACTTTTCGAAAGTTTGTACACACTTCAATATATGGAGTAATTTTTCGAAAGTTTCGATGAAATAAGGACAAAGTTTCAAATTTGGTCCATGCTGTTTCGAAATACATACATACATACATACATACATATATATATATATATATATATATATATATATATATATATATATATATATATATATATATATATATATTATTAACTTATAATATTATATAGTATAAGGGTTGAATTTTTACTTTTAAAATTCTAGGAGTTGGAACTAAAGTTTACTAGATGACTTTACATGTTCCAAAACTTGAGGGAAAGTTTTGTAACTTTACAAAACTTTTCAATTCATAACTTATGTGTTAAATAGTTCATTAAAATGAGTGACTTTTCATTTTATGTAACCTATGTATTTAATAATGGACTTTAAAACAAAATTTTTGGTAATCCATAACTTGAGGACAAATTATGGATTCCATTAAAACACATAATGATCGTGAATTAACCATTAAAAAAGTAATTCCTATGATCTATTAAGAACTCATAAGAACATGAATATTCATATCAAAATTTCAAGAACATACGAACACATATAAACATGGAATTTTGATATTAGCTATTGTAAATGGATTAGACCAACCATTACACTATCTAAAACAAGTTTTATAACACCAAAACAGTTTTGGGTAATGTTTCTAATCCATTTCCAGC